CAAATTAGTGGCACATTTTTTTTACCATAAATTATTATTCTTCGACTAAATAGAAGTATATTTTAACCGGTGTAATTCATATTTATTAATTGCTACTTTATTTAAACTATTTTTTTCATATTTATGGTGATGAGTGCAGGTAAAACGTATTTATCTTCAAGAATTTATAATATTTTACAATCCTTCAAAAAACATTTTCCTTTATCTACCTAAACTTACATTTATCAAAAATCTACACGCGATATAGTTTAAATATATTTTTTCCTAAAATGGCACTATAATTGACTAAGTAATATTATCTCGTACAAAAATTATTCAATATCAACCACAAATATTATTTTTAGGGGTGAGCATTTTGCACACATATTTATTAACACTAAACCAAGATATTACACGAAGGTGAATATATTTTTTTAAATGCGATTTCTTGTGCTCGTCAAAAAACCATTTTTTGACAACGAGTTACGCACTCGTTGCGCGTTTTCGCAGAACGATTTCGTAGATGTTTTAAGTGACACAATGTTCTGCCACCCATAATTCTTTTCCTGAATACCTAAAAATATAAATAATATAATGGGCGAATTTTAAATAATAATCGCTCAACAAGTATTATAAGAAAATTAATAATTTTCAAAAAAAGGTGAAAATGCAATTACAGTTATAAACAGCTTATTATCTCGAATATTATAATTGGCACACTTGTCTAATTTACCTTTTTCTACCCTTCACATAACCTATAGATAAATGACAAAAAATCCCAAACATTAAAAAAAATTGCTCAAAATGTTATCGCTTAATGAAAATTCGATTTTATGCGAGTTACGTCAAGAATTTCTCAATTTCTACAATTTTAATGAATAAATCAGGTGCATAATTTTTTAATTTTTACTAACAAGAATTTTTTTTATATCTCATAGTCGCGATATAGTATTAGCAAATGTATAAAAATGTGGGTTAGCAATATGGAAGCTTCTTGTGGCACATATATCTCAGAACCCAATTTGTCCCCATTTCGTGAGATTTCCCCATAAACACTAAGTTCTGTTAGATTTCATAGCCATGGTAAATATCGGTGCACCATAAAAAGAATTGAATAATTTTTTCCTCAAATTAGCGCCATTTTGTTTTTTAATTTCCGCTTTTGCATATTTTGAAAGTTCAGTAAGTTTGTGCCAAATTGTGACACTTGTATTCGTGTGAAACAAATATTTTCAGTAAGAAATAATTATTTAAAAAAAAAATTTTTAATTTTTTTTTGCAATCTGATGCACACAATTCGCTATATTTAATTTTCTTTGCGATAAATTTAAAATCTGAGCACAGAATCTTGTTTAGCGACCCCGAAAACATAAAGAAACACTTCAGTTACTTGCAGGGAGTATTTTCAGTATATGAAATTAAATCTTTAATTAAACAAAAATTTTCAGAGGTTTCAGGCGTTAATGGGTTAAATAAAAAAAGATATCGACAAAATCCTTCGTCAGACGAGATTCAATACTATGTATATGACAACCATATTTTATTTTTTGGTTTGGATCACCCAGACGTGAGATTTCATGTACACCGTTTGTGCCCCTAAAAAAAGGCGAAATCGCGCTTGAAGGAGTGCCACCACGGCAATTTTGAATATGTAGAATTAAAATTTTTTTTATTCCTAATGCACAAAAGTGGCGAATTCAGATAGCAGACGACAGGGAGTAAAAGTCATTCACACACTAAAAAAAAAGTTTTACTTTTAGCCCGTTTTCGAGGCTGAATTTACGGTGTAAACGGAGTCAGCCCCATTAAACAAGGACAGACTTATGTGAAATACATGGGCTGAATTTAAGGTGTAAACGGAGTCAGACTTTTTTTTCCTGTTCACTTGTTCGACTTATAAGAAACTGGCGGCCGTTTTCTCCCATGGGCAAAAATAACGCATGGGATCAGCGTTTATGTTTGCACATGGGAGAAAATGGACGCCATTTTCATATGGTGGAACAAATGAGTGACTTTACTCCCTGTCGTCAGCTATCTAAAAGCGCCATCTTTGTGCATGTGGGATAAAAAATATCGTAAGTAACATTGGAATAAAGGCAGCCAATTTGTTTACGATGATTTTTGTGACACGAGTTTTTTACAAATACTTGAATATATAATATAGGATGGTTTAATTTAATGTCGATGTCGTATTTTTGTAGAAAAAAAATCCGCAAATATCGGCCTATTCTTTTCCTTGCCACAGTAGACTTCCTCCTTCATCCTGAATGTGCCACCGTTTTAATAAATAATTTTCACTGGGGAGAGATGTCCCGGGGAGACTTGTCCACCCATGGCATTATTTACTTTTAATATTTACATTTGGGGAGAGATGTCCCTGGGAAGACTTGTCCTCTGGGAGGAGCTGTCCATGGGAAGACTTGTCCCATGGGGAGTTATGTCTCTGTGGAGACTTGTCCTGGGAGGACTTGTCCGGGGGAGACTTTCTGGGTGTGACTTGTCTCATATTCATAAAATGTATGCCAACCGTTACTGAAATCAATATTTCAATCAAATTTGCTATATTTTTTTATAATTTACGAGTAAAAATAACAAAATATATACTAAAGTTTAACTTTGTAGAATAAAAAGTTGTTTAAAATCATAAGAAAAAATATATAGTCAGAGTTGGCCTAAATTTATTTTTTAAAAAAAGTTATAAAGAAAGTTCAAAAGGTGGTCAACAATTTCTATTTATTATTTAGTACAGTAAAAATTAACGTAGCGTTTTCAAAAAATTTTATTAATTATTTTATTATTTTTAATTAAAATTACAAAATACTTTTTTTAATAAAAAATAAAAAAACCGCTGCCAAGTTGAATATTTTTGTTATAATTTTGCTCATTTCATGAACACTTTGAGGAATATAATAATAATAGAAAATTGAAATATATGAATAAATTTTTATAAATATGGTAAAAATGATTGAATTTTGGGTCAATCAATGCATTTTTTAATACCCTACAAGATAGTTATAATAGTTTAATAGTTAAAGGAAAGTTTTCAAACAAAAAAAGTTGAGAAAATGTCATTTTACAGAATTTTTGGTTTTTAAAATACCAATAATTTCGAAATTTATGATCAAACTAAGTTCAAAAATAGACGAATTGAAGAGTTTTTCAATGCTCTACAAGTTGATAATGATACTTTCAAAGTTATTTCTACATTTTTCAACAAAATTTTCAAAAAAGTCTTATTTTCAAAAATTTTAGATTTTTAAAAGTTTAATGTCTTGGGTTAGTGTGGACAAAAAATGTTTAATAAGGGCTCAAAAGATGCGTCTAAAAAAACTCTAAAAAATTAGAGAAAAACATTAATGGGTGTCTTAACATTTTTTTTAAGTTATGGACCAAAAACGATTTTTTGAAAAATTAAAAATCCAAAAAAATATAGTTAATCTTTATGAATCGGGCTGAAAAGAAGAAAGCACGTGAGACGTACAATTTAAAAAAATTCATCCCTAAAGCTCTTTATAATCTCGAGATATTTTTGAAAATATAATGTTTACAGACACAGACGGAATGACATTTTTTAAAATGTCATTTTTTAACTCCTGAAGTCAAATAACATATATAGATATGTCAAAAAATCAAACTCGAAAAATTTTGGTATTACAATACAACTAAGTAATTAAATACAAACTTAACTAATACATTTTTCACTGGTTCAATAATAAATTTATTCCAAAAATCTTTAGTTTTACATTAAGTTTTCATTTATTATAAAATAAATAACGAAAAGCCTATATAATACAGTTTTCGATTTAATTAATTACATGCAAAAATGGTATAAAGCAAAACTTTTCATTTTTTCATTCCAACATTTCATTCAAAAGTTCATCATTCATTCATGTACAAAAAATTTACACGTATTTATAACTATTTTCAAAGAGGTCGCAAAATTTTGGGTATGGCACCCGAACGCCTAACAATAAATAATAATTTATTTCTACTATATAAATTAGTCAAATTACTGTCACAAATAGAAAAAAATAAATAATTATATAAATACTTTTAAATAATTTAAAAAGTTCCAATATTTCAATTTTAGTTTCTAACTCACAAAATTATGTTTCTATATGTAAAAAATTCTATAAAAAAATAAATAAATAAATATTAACTTATGAAATAAATTCGCCATCCTAAAACATAACAATAATTAACTGAGGAATTTACACTTAAATTGTTAACTTATAATTTATAATATACATAATAATTATTCATTTTACAACAATAGAACTTTACAAACAAGCGTGACTAAGATCCATGTTATGGGTTTAAAATCTTCCCACGAAAATACTCTAATTAATCATTTAGAATGTAAAGAATATTACGTGTGGTAGATTTTAGATTGCTGACAAAAAATGCTTATTATTATTAAAATTATTGTTTACGTCTATTGTTTACAAATTTGAGCGTTTTTACATTAGGAGCATAAATTTGTCTGATTAACAAAATTATATATAATTATTTGCTACTATTATGATTATAATTATAATAGTAGCAAGTAAATATAAATAAAAAATATAATTATTATATAATAATAATATTATTATAAATATTATATTATAATTACAATAATTATTATATAATATAATTATTTTTGTTATAATAATTTTGTTATTCATTCTACTTTTCAGTTTTTTAATTGTATATACCTGACAACAATTCTATTATTCACTGAGAAAAATAAAATTTACGATAACAACAAAATATTTTGCTGAAGATTTTTCTAATTATATATTCTTTTCCTGATATTTTTTTAATAAACAAACATTTTTTATTTTTATTTATGAAGTATTTTTTGTTTAAATACAAAACTTTTTCTAAAAAATCCCAAGAAAATTTTTGGATAGAAAAATGTTTGAAAAAGAAATGAAAAAATGTTATCTGTCTTAATTAATTAATTAATTAACATATAATTAATTAATATAAAGAATCAATAAATATTTAATTAATTAGAAAAAATTATTCTAAAACAAATTTTTTTTCGAATTTCAAAGATTAACGGAAGAAAAGAATGTTGTTTCACAACCAAATATTTTACAGTTATGGAAAAAATAATTTTCTCCAGTATTTCTACAAAAAAAAATATTTTTCTTGATTTTGACATTTTTATGATTTAAAAAAAAGGACGAAGAAAAATTCCTTCTTTTGAGAAAACAGTGATATTTTAAATTATTACAATTTTTTTATTCCGTATTTATGTGACATGAATACGTTCTTAGGCAATCTCCACCGTCCTGTCCTAATCTCGCTGCACCAAGATAGCGATGAAACCTTTGACTGGAAACTGTGGCCGAATTTCCACGCTTCAGCTCTTGAGGATCCCTGTAAAAATGCAATTATACCGTAAATTTCAAAGAAAACATTCAAAGAAAGAATAATTCACTAAACCAATTATTATTATTATCTTCATCATCAATTTTTTTTAATTTTGAAAAAAAATATATAGACTAAAAAAAATTATCCCGCGATTTTGTAAAGAGATTTACGAAAAAGAAAAATAAGAAGCAAATATTTTTTTATTCACTACTGTGAATATCCCATTAATTATTTATAGTAAAAGTGGACATAAAATATTTAATAGATAATAATTTATGTGCAATTAGATTCATAAAATGTTAGGAAAGTAATGAGGAGGGAAAAGTTGACCATTCAGATAAAAACGAATGCTTTCTACTAATTGATAAAAAGTCAACGTCTTAATATATTAAGGCTAATTCAATAGTAATAATATTATTTCTAAATAAATTATTTTCGTTTCTCAATGAATTAAGTTTTTGAGAAATAATTTCTGAGATCTACAAATACAATAAGAATTTTTTATTTTCGATTTATTTAGCAAAAATAATAAAAAAAATAATAGAAAAAATAATAAAAAAAAAAATCTTTAAATAAGGCAATATTGTGACATTATTGAGTCGATACTGTGATTTAGCTTCAAAATTGAGGCTACTTACCGGCAAAATTTTGTCAATAATTTTGCAATATTCAATAAACATTGCAGCAAAATTAAATCAATATTAAAGTTTTTCTGTTAAAATATATTATCAATACTTTGTCAATATAATGTCAAAACTTTTGAAAAACAGTGGCAAAATAATGTCAAAATTCAGACAGTACTGTGGCAATATTCTTGAAATTATGCGGCAGTATTATGGCAATATTTAGTAAATATTGTAGCAAAATTAAATTAAATATTAAAAATTTAAAACTGTTCTGTTAAATCTATTGGAAATTTTTTTTCTTAGTATAATGGTAAAAGTTTTGAATCACAGTGGCTAAATAATGGAAAAATTAATGCCATTCAGTGGTAATTTTGTAGCAATAATGCGTTTTTGTATTTAAGCAATATTAATTCAATGCTTCATCACTATTCTATCAATATTGAGGCAATATTGTCAAAATAATTAGTCAATATATACCTACTGTCAGAAACAGTAGGAAAATTCTAGCTATATGGAGGCAATATAAGTCGCAATATTTTGGCAAAATGTGGCAGTTCTAATTCAATATTGTAGCAAAATTAAATCATTTATATAACGATGTTCTGTTAAATCTATTGGATATATTTTGTCTGTATAATGGCAAAACTTTTGAAAAACAATGTCAAAATAATGGAAAAATTAAGGCAATTCAGAGGCAATATTGTGTGAATATTATTTCAAAAATTTTAGCGAATTTGTATCAATATTGAGGCAATGCTATTTTGGCAAAATTCTATGAGTATAGTGGCAAAATTTTGTTTATGTGGTGGCAACACAGTGTCAAAATTTAGGCAATACAGTGGGAATATTGTGTCAATTAGGCGATAGTATTGTAGGAATATAATGTCAATACTCTATATAAAAACTGTAGTAATATAGAGACAATACTCTGGCAATGCGGTGGCAAAATTTTGGAAATATTGTGTCAAACAAAATACAAAACTATGTCAATACGGTGGTAATATTATGGTAAACAAATGGCAATACAGTAGCAAAATTTTGTCAATTCGAAGTTATGCTGTATTGCGGCAGTATAAAGACAATTCTGGGAAAATGTTTGCCTTATTATTGAAGCCAGAAAGTAGAAATTCACTGTTAATACTGTGGAAAAATGTTGTCTTCATATTTAGTTAATTGCTGCAATATAGTGACAAATTTTAATTTGCAATATTAAAAAAATATTGCAGCATTACTGTTGGCAAATATAGGAAAATATTTAAACAATATTATAGCAATATTATTGACAAATAGTAAAAATATTCAAATAATAATGCGAAATAAAAAAATTCTTGATAAAAACTGTCTATTATTTATCAAACTTCTTTTAAAATCATGTTGACGATTTTACACTGTTTTTTTATGTCATCCATTCGCATTAATGTAACAGTACTTACAAATGCGTCGACTTGAATCAAAGCCAACTGTCTGAGAAAGCTATATAAGCATTTCAGATTACACACTAAGTGTGGATATGAAAATAACATTTTTTGTCTGTAAAGAATGATGATATTATAAGAACGAAAGTAAGGTCGTTTTTAGATTTTATTTCATTTTTTAAGTGCCGATTCCTCTCTTGTGGGTACATTGAGAAGAGAAATTTGTTTTTACAGTTATACTTGAAAAGGAGACAAGTCGTGAGTTTAAGGCGTTTATGACGTGTCTTTAAAATACCTAGAAAGCTGGATTTTTATTTAATGACCTTGAATTTTATTTGAGGTACATTCTTATTCGGAATGAAAAAAAAGGTTTCATTTAATTGTATATGTCAATGGTTGTCTTTTTTAAATGTTTGATTTAGATTTTAATTTTTTCTATACCAGCATTTTTTGGTATCGCTACTATTTCAAGAGGAAGAATATGAAATTAAACTGTATTTTTAGTTGTAGATATATTTTAGAATTTGATTTTTGATTGTTTATGGAAATATTTTAGTTTTTAATTACAGTTCTTTATTGTTGTAAATTTTGTTGTTGTTCTGGTATATAGTTTTCTTTGTTGACAATATTGATTCAAGTAAAATCGTTTTTGACACATTTTTTTCTTGTTAACAAAATTCTATCTTTCATAACAATTTTGTTGGTAAAAGTATTCTTTTTCATGGTAATATTTTTGGTACCAATATTATATTTAATACTAATTTTTCTGGTACCACTTCTCAAGTTGTAAAAGTTTTACGACCAATAATTTTTACAACTATACTACTGCTACTAAAATATTTTACTCATAATAACTTACTTAGAACAAAACTTTTAATATAATAACAAATATATTTCTGTGGCACAAGAGATTTTTTGTTTTAAAAATTAATTACTTATTACTTATTCTTAATTGTTAATTTTTTAATAAAGCCTTGGTTTATTTGATTTATTTTTATTATTGCTTTTGGTACCACTTATTTTCATTATTAACAACTTATATTCTTGGTACCAGATTTATTCCTGTTGACAATTATTTTGGTACCACTACACTGAAAAAACTGTATTCTAAATTTAAGAATATATACTAAAATAGGTGCCAAGGATATTCCCCACTTAAATTAAATGAGAAATATTCTTATAATAAGATAATATTCTTATTGAAAGAATATTTTCCACTTAATTTAAGTGGGGAATATCCTTGGCACCTATTTTAGTACTATTCTTAAATTTAGAATATAGTTTTTTCAGTGTACCAATATTAAATTTATTCCGCTTTTAATACTTTCTAATTATTATTTCTAATTATTTCTTTCTTACCACTGTATTTTTTTAATACCAGTATTACTTTCGTTACCAAATTTTCCGGTACTGGATTTATTTTCCGTGTTAATTAAGATTTCAGCATTGTTTTTCTATCGAAATTCTTACAAAAGTGCCGAATTTGTCCCTTTTTGCCAAAATATTTCTGGTACCACAAAATTGCTCATTTTGAAAAGTAATTCAATTCTTTTTATACCATTAATACTTATTTTCCTACTAAAATTAAGTCAGTACAGTACTAATTTATTTTTTCAGACCGCGAAATTAATTTTGTTTAATCCAATATTTTACAATCAAAAATCAAATCTTGCCGTCTAGAAAAAAAAATAATAATTTTCTTTATTAAAACTTTATTACCCTCTTACGCTGTATTCTTTACTTGAAAAATAATACGTCGAAAAATTTAAATCAATTAAACTGGAAACAATGAAAATTTCACTACAAACCATAATAAAAAAATTCAATAAAACTCTAATTTCAAAATGCCGTAGCATTAACCCATTTATCTAAATTTAACTTTAAAAATGACATTCTTAATATCAATTAGCAGTATAAATCTCCGAGAATATCTTTGCAAAAGTGACGCATGGGTAGCGTTACCTTAATGACTTTAAATTCCAATATTACTACACACGCATAAATAAATAGGTACATATATATATATATATATATATATATATATATATATATATATATATATATATATATGAAGGAGTTTACACCGTAAGCCTTAAATATAAGCCTCCGCGCGCATAAACGGATATACCTCCAGGAGCATATATTTGCCCCTGCGCGAACACGTGGTCAAGGCAAACTCTTTCACAACACAGCTGCAGGCAAACACTTTGCGCAGACGCAAGTATATGCTCATGGAGGCATATCCGTTTATGCTCGCGGAGGCTTATATTTAAGGCTTACGGTGTAAACTCCTTCTATATAGCATGTAGATAAGAATTGAAAGGAGCGTAAAGAAAGATGTGTATCCCAGAAAAGAGAACACAGAGAAAGAAGGAACCCCAATAGCACGGATACTTTTTTATTCACATTCCTGAAATATTCCATTGGAACATTTGCAATATTCCTTCAGAATATTCCATAGAAACTTTGGAAAGATTCCTTTAGAATATTCCATCGGAATATTTGCACTATTCTATTAAAAGTTTGGGAATAATAATTTAGAATATTCTATTGGAATATTGAATATTCCTTTAGCAGATTCCACCGGAATACTATAGAAATATTTCTTTAGAATATTTCTCCCGAAACCTTGGAAGGATTCCTTAGAATATTCCATTGGAATATTGTCACTATTCCATTGAAACTTTGGGAATAATAATTTAGAATATTCCATTTGAATGTTGAGAATATTCCATCGGAATACTAGACATTTTTCTTTAGAATATTCCTCCCGAATAATGGTAAAACTCCATCGAAACGTTGGAAATAATCATCTAAGATCTGCCATTGGAATATTGAGAATATTCAATTAGAATATTCCATCGAAACTTTAGAAATAATCGTTTAGAATGTTCCATCCGAACAGTAAAAATATTTCTTTAGAACATTCCATTACAACGTTGGAAATAAGGATTTAAAAGACTTCATTGGAATGTTGAGAATATCCCATTTGAATATAGAGAATATTCCATCAAAACTTTGGAACTAATCATTTAGAATATTTCATTTTAATATTGGGAATATTCCTTCAGAATAATCTATTGGAGCATTGGAAATATTTGTTTAGAACGTAAGGAATATTTTTGAGAATATTCCATTGGAACATTGGAAATATTCATTTGAAATATTTGATCCGCATTCTAGAAACATTAAAAGGTCTGACTTTTGAAATAACGTACGAATATTTCATTGGAATTTTAAAGGAAAATTCTAATGGAATATTACATTTTAATATTCCTAAAATATGCTTGGAATATTCCAAGGAAATATTCTCAATGTTCCAATGGAATATTCCCAATTTACAAATAGACAATATTCTGTGCTAGAAGGGAAAGATATATAAAGAAACAAATAGGGAAAGACAGAAAAGAAGAAGCAAAAAGAGAGAAAGAAACAAATAGAGAGAAAGGGACAAAAAAAGAGAAAGGAAGAATACAGTAAGAGACAAAAAGAGAGAATGAGACATAAAGAGAGAAAGGATCAAAAAAAGAGAAAAACACAATAATAGAGGAAAAGACAAAAAGAGAGAATGAGACAGAAAGAGAAAAATATAAAGAAAGAGAGAATACGACAGAAAGAGAAAAGATGTAGAAAGAAAGAATTATACAGAAAGAGAAAAAGATGCAGAAAAATAGAAAAATACAGACAGATAAAAAAGAATTAAATTTAATAATTTAAATTTTTAATTTTAAATTTAAAAAAAAATTTTTTTTTTAAATTTTTAAATTTAAAGTTTTAATTTTAAAATTTTTAATTCATTCTTTATTCACTCATTCTTTAAAGAATGAGGAAGGTAGAAAGAGCAAAAAAAGAAAAGAGGATAAAGAATGAAGGAGACTAAGAGAGCGAGAGGGAGAGAGGTGACGACTCCTCGTACAGGCTCAATGACCCGATTGAAGTAATTCGGAGCAGTGAGGGCGACGGCCACCTTTCTCCTTATGATCCACAATTCCAGAACCGATCAACGATCGCCATACAAGCGCTTACCTGGACAGCTCGTTGGACACAAGATTACTGTGTGGTGCAAAGATCGCCGGGTTCTTGTACATACTACAAACAAGCCTCTCCCTGCAATTCTCCTCAATGAATCTCAGTTGTCCGAAGATCTCGTCTAGCCGGCCAACAATTGGCCCATAAAACTCGTCATCATAAACTGCACGTAATCCCTGTGGTTTAGCTAACTGCACCACCTTTTGACCTTGACCCACTCTCGTCTGCTGATTCTGCAATTGCTGATGCAGCTGTTGTTGTTGCTGCTGCTGCTGTTGTAATTGTTGTTGTTGCTGCTGTTGCAATTGTTGTTGCTGCTGTTGCAATTGCTGTTGCTGCAAATGTTGCTGAACTTGTTGCACTGGTTGAGCAAAAACTCCATAAGGATTCTTCTTCGTCACCTTAATTGTCGATGATGGCACAATATTCGATTGCGGATTTTGAACAACTTGAATTGCAACTGGTGCGGATGGGGAATTCGCCTGTGGTCCCGGTGAATAAACCGGTCTGATATTTGGTCCAGGGGGTAAATTTGCAGCAGCTGATTGCACTTGTGCACGTTGTTTATTGAGTTTAATTTCATCCAAATAGCCAGAGTATGCGAGATTATGAGCTTGATTACGTGAATTTGGTGAATATTGTGGACCATATGGTCCAGGATAGACGGGCGACAATGGCGTTGGACTAATTGGACCTAAATGCTGATTGACCTCTTCAATTGGCTCCTCATATGGTTCGATGCCCCATTCCTTTAGTTCCTCTATATCCTTACGATATTGAATATGAGGATGTGCATAATCATAACCACTAAATTCCTCCTCGTGATGTGGCGGATGATGATCGACGTAAATTGGACTTGCTGCTGGTACGGGAACTGGAACTGGTACATGATGATGATGATGTGCCACCTGAAAATTAAACAGTTTTTGCTATGAAGAAAAGTGACCATTTTTTTATTGTTGAAAATTTTATGAGTAAATAAGATGTTTTGGAATTTTTCATGTCCCTACTTGGGTGCTATTTCATTGTACATTAATCGACTTTCTTTGATTATTTCTTTGCATATAAAAGAATTGACAGGTGAATAATAAATAGTGGTACCAAGAGTTGTAAGCAAAAAAATTATGGTACCAAGCAATTTATTATTGATAAAAAAAAGACTTGGTACTTGAATATTAGAAAAAAGTAGAACCAAAATTTTTGAAGCAAAAACAATTTCTGTATCAAGGAATTCTTTGCTAGCAAAGGAAAGATTTGGTACCTAATTACAAAAAGAGAGATTACAAAGAAATTACAAAAAAGAGAAATAGAAATTTGATTCTGGCACCGGTAGATTTATTAACAGAAATATCTTTCATAGAGAAAGAAAACAAAATAATTGCTGCTTTTCACATTATTATTGAAGGAAAATAGTGGTATCAAACGTTGTAACCAAAAATAATTCGCAAACAAAAGAATTTAATGTTTGACAAATAACATGATCCCTAAACATTGGGAAAAAATAGCGATACAAAAAATTTGGTAGCAAAAACAACGTTTATATTAGGATTTAGGAAATTCACCGTTAGTAAAGAAAAGAGTTGATACATTCATACCAGAAAAGAAATAAATTGAATTTTGATATGGTAAAAGAGAAAAAAAGAGAAGAAAATAATTGTTATGTCTAGTAATATCTTCTAAAAATAAAAAGTACCAAGGGTTACAACCAAAAGCAGTTCTGGTACCAATTTATTATTGACAAAGGAAATAATTGTTACCTTAAAAAATGCTGACAGAAAAAATAGTGGTACCAAAAGTTGGGACTAACCACAATTTTGGTACCGCAAGGAATACATCTTTAACAAATAAAAGCGTTGGTAGCTGAATACCAAATGCAAATGAATTGGATTTTGATATTAGTACCAGAAGATTTACTAACAGTAAAGGTACGAAATTAAATTTTTGGTACCATCTAAGTTAGATTGTTACCATTAATAATATTGTTCAGAGAAAATAGTGGTAACAAACGTTGGTACCAAAACGGATTCTAGTTATTCGAGTTTGAATTTTGCTACTTGTGCCAAAAAAGTGACTAACTGTAATAATTCTGGTACCAAAAAATAAGTTAACAATGTTAACAATTGTTATCTTCAAAAATATTAATAAAGGAAAATACATACACTACCGTCGGGAATTATCGGTACGGCTGCCCGCACAGGGCCCAAAAACATACCAATCTTTAAATCAAGATATTTTTGAAAATAATAATGTCAGAAAAATAACAAATATATCATTCGAAAGATTATTAAATTCTACAATTAATGATACATTACTGGAAATTTTAATAACTTATACAAAGATTGCAGCAATCGACAAATTTGACAAAAAATGAAGAAAATAAAATTTTTTTTGAAATTATTTAATGCCTTGCATATTTTTTAAAAATTGTAGGAAAAATTTGAAACTTATAATATAGGTGTAATCATTCAAGTCTTATCTTTAATTTAAGACCAAAGGAGATAAAAAATCTTATTCGGTTCGTGAGATATCATTATAAACGTCCGATCATTTTCAGCAAAAAACCGTTCAAAATCGACTAATTCAATGCATGTGCCAGCAGACATACTCGGACGTTTATAATGATATCTCACGAACCGAATAAGATTTTATAACTCTTTTGGTCTTAAATTAAAGATGAGACTTGAATGATCACACCTATATAAGTTTCAAATTTTTCATACAATTTTAAAAAAAATATGCAAAGCTTGAAATAATTTCAAAAAGAATTTTATTTTTTTCATTTTTTTGTCAAATTTGTCGATTGCTGCAATCCTTGTATAAATTATTAAAATTTCCAGTTATGTATCATTAATCGTAGAATTTAATAATCTTTCGAATGAAATATTTGTTATTTTTCTGACATTATTATTTTCAAAAATATCTTGTTTTAAAGATTGGTATGTTTTTGGGCCCTGGGCGAGCAGCCGTACCGATAATTCCCGACGGTAGTGTAGTTGTACCAAAAGTTAAAAACAAAATTCAGATACCAGAAAAATAAGTTAATAATGAAAACAAGTGATACCAAAATAATACTAAAAATTCAACAAAAAACTTAAACCAAGAACTTATTAACCAGATATATGTAAGTAATGCCGGGAATTTTCGTAACATAGGAAAAAAATTATTACTTTAACAAAAAATTGTTAAAAGAAAACTGTGGTACCGAAAGTTGAAAACAAAAACAATTCTGGTACTAAACAATTTATTGCTAAGAAAAAAAAAATTGTTACCTAATGTCAAAAAATGTGGATTATAATCGAAATGTTTTGAATTTTGCTAGTGGTATGAAAAGAGTTAATTAACTAATAATTCTGATACCAAACAAATAAGTTAACTAAAAAAAAACAAGTGGTACCAAAATAATTCTGAAAATGTGACAAAGAATCAAACATCAGAACTTATTAATAATGAAAATAATTCTTGGTACCAAATAAAGTTTTATTAAAAAAAAATATTTTTATTTATTATAAAACGAAATTTTGCTATTAATAGTTTATCATTAGTAAAGAAATTTTTAAATAACTGAACAAATGGTACCAAAAAAAGTATTATCAAAAATAATTTTGCTTTGTAAGAAATTGGATACATATTTTTTTACTATATAAAAAATGTCAATGTTTGTTTACTAATTGTAACCATAAATTTTTGCTCAACTAACAAGTTATATTTTGGGATTTATTTATGTTTCAGCTGAATGCTACTATCTGATTTTAAATTAACCGGTTTCAATTAATTAATTCACTTGCCCATAAATATGACATTCTAAATGAGAATAAATTTTAATGAACTTTGTTGATATTTATTTAAATAAGTGTTAATTAAAATTTCCCATTTTAAATTTTAAATTATTGTCATAATGAATTAAAAGTCGTTTCTTAAAAATGAAGAGAAAGTCATTAAATCTAATTTAAAATATTAATGAGAATTCTCATTTCTGAATTTTAATTTTTTTTCTTTACTTTTAAATAATAAATAAAATAAATAAATTTTTTGTCTTTTTTCTTCAAATGTACAGACTTTATTTCTTTACGAATGAGTAAGTTTATTAAGATCAGAATTAATTTCTAGTAATTTTGCAAATTGAAATCGTTCCGTTGCATTTTAATGCAATGAATATTGTAAGTAAATTATTTTCCTTTTAAGTTCGTTAATCTTTAATTTTCTTCTAATTTTTTTATATATACTATGTCAGTTTCTTTCAAAAAAAACATTTTTTAATTTGTTTAATCTTTAGTGTCAAATTTAGAAGGTGAGAAAAATTCTATGAGTGAAAAAATATAAAGAAAATTTTTTTTTGAGAAGAAAAGGAAAAATATATTTGTAAACAGATTATAAAGGTATAAATTATCATAAGTATTGTTTACTAATTTGATTGAGTATCAAACGTCAACTTTATGATTTGTAAAATAGTATACGATTATCTGCAGTCAATTGTATGTATATGCATTTAGAGAATACGATGTTTTAAAAATGCATTTAAGTGCAACAAAGCTTGTCGGATGCTCGAAGCGCAACGATGCGCACTTGTATATTATTAAGTGATGAATGTTCAAATACAATCAACTAATATTCATCCAATTAAAACCAAAAGTACTTCTTTCAAGTGAACGGAATTTTCTAATACAGTTAAAATATTCGAATTACTAATTTTCCATTCTGTGAATTTACAATTTTTAATTTTTTATACAGTCAAACTTTTATATTCAAATTTATTATAAAAATAATTAATTATAACTGTTATAAATAAAATTAATAAATGAAACTTATTTATTTCAATTTATTTTTTCATTTAAATTTACTATAAAATTGATTAATAATTTTTCTATTTTAAATTTACTGTAAAATTAATTTATTGTTATTTTATTATTTAAATTTATTACAAAATAAATTTATTTTCATTTTTATATCTCAATTTACTATAAAATACATTTATTTTCTTTTTTTTAATGTTACAGTACAAAAAATTATAATACTTGTATTTAAATTAAAAAAGTAAATAAAAATCGAGGAGACCTTTCTCTCTTCTTTATTTTTATTTTAAAATGTGGATCAAACTCGAAAACCAAAAGTTACGCGACTTGAATTTCGTTATTTTTATTTATATATAGTATTTATTTGCGTTGACCCTATTTTATTTTACCTGATGATGATGATGATGTTGTAGTTTTGAGTGTGGACTGCTGTAATAGCTCGAGCATAATTTAAATACGTGAGCAAATGCTGGTACCAAAAACAGCAATAATTTCAGGAATAATTTTTTCGCTGCCCCTACTCCAAACAGGAAGGGAATGACGAACATGAATTTCAATTTAATTAACTTAATTATCAGCAATAGGGCCAAGAAGCTCATCAACAATTTATTCTGTATTGCCTTCCCTGCAAAAAAAATTAGTTCATTACTTTTTACAATTTAATTTAATTAAATTATGAAATAAAATAATAAAATATTTAAATAATAATGCAAAAAAAAGAAATATGTAATTATTGTAAATATTTAGTTAATTTGTTGCTTTAAATAATAAATTTATACTCTAAAATGTAACCTTTTAAAATTGTTCACAATTTTATTACTATTGTTATTACTATTATTTTTTTTCATTAAAATATTTAAGATATGGGAGACAATTAATTAATTCTATAATAAAACCTAATTATTTAAAAATATAGAATAAGATTGCAAAAAAAATAAATTAATTATTAAAATAAATAAGTAATAAACATAATCAATTAATTATTGGCAGAAACTAAATAAATGGAGTGAGAATAAATAATAAAAAGGATAAATAATTAATTAACAATAATGAAAAATAATAAAAAATAATGGTAAATAAATAATTAAAACAAACAAATAGAGGACTTTCATTAATTATTAATATAAATAATTCATTATTCTTCAAAACGGGACTATACGGATTATGAGTAAATAAAAAACATAATTAATTAACATATAGAAAATAATAAGGTAAATGATTGATAAAAATTGAAATAAAGAAATGATAAAAAAGGAGAGAAAATTAAAATAAATATATAAATTTTTGAAAGGAAACTAATAATAATAATTATTAAACAAATCCGAAAATTGTTGATTGTGAATGTGTAATTAAAAATAATAAACAATTCATTAACTTAAACAAAATTGTTATAATCTAATAACACAAGCCTGCAAAAAGATTTAAATTACCGTTGTCTTAGATCGAGAAGTCATTTCCCGCAGTATTTGGTGCGCTGAATCTGAATCTGGCAACGAAAACCTCCTATCACGTCAGGATTTTGAGAAAAGTGGGGGTAAATTCCTAAAAATCATGTTTTTTGCAGTTTTTGAAAATTTCTACCGGGTAAATCCGACGTGCTAGAGACTTGTTATAGGAGTAAAAAAAAGCTTAAACCCACTACTTTACAAAGATATAGCGATATTGCTAGCAACAAACTAAATTAGCTATCAAAAATTATTTTTTTAACACTTGTCAAGCAAAAAAATTGATTGACACTGCCTGTAAATAAAACTATTTTTATAACTAATTGGATTCGCTTAAAATTTCCAGGGTCGCTGATTACAAATATGTTGTCAGATTTTCAAAATTTAAAATGTCGGATCCAGTATGACGGACTGCTTGTTAAAAATCGATTCAAATTGCCTGGAACTCGTTACTCGAGGGTTATCGGGGTCGTTGATTATGAATCTAACCACAGATTTTTTATTTTGACATCATAATTGTAATCAACGACCCCGAAAACCCCAGAGTAATAAATTCTAAGCGAATCCAAAAATTTTTTAAAATAGTTGTATTTACAGACAGTGTGAGTCCATTTTTATGCTTGCTAACTGTTAAAAAAAATAATTTTTGACGGCTAATTTAGTTCGTTGTTATCAATATCGCTATATCTTTGTAAAGTAGAGGGTTTAAGCTTTTTTTTACTCCTATAACAAGTCTCTAGCACGTCGGATTTACCCGGTAGAAATTTTCAAAAACTGCAAAAAACATGATTTTTAGGAATTTACCCCCACTTTTCTCAAAATCCTGACGTGATAGGAGGTTTTCGTTGCCAGATTCAGATTCAGCGCACCAAATACTGCGGGAAATGACTTCTCGATCTCAGGCAACGGAAATTTTTATTTTTTTGCAGGCTTGTGTAATTAAATAAACAAAATGATTAATTATAAAATCAATTAAAGAAAATTTGTTAATATTACTTAAGCAAACTAATTAATCAACAAATTAATAAAATAAACAAAAATGAAACGATTAACAAATAATCAATCAAATAATCTAATTGATTATATCGAACGTGTTAACAAATAAACAAAAAGGGAAATATGAAAAAATAAGCAATAAACTAATTAATTAACAAATAAATAAACAATTGAATAAATGTGAAACTATTAATAAAGAAATAAATTAGCAAATAAGTAAAGGAACTAGTTGATAAAAAAATAGACAATTAAACAAATATGAATCTATAAATAAATAAGCAAACAAATAAGCAATTAAATAAGTGAACTAATTAATGAACAAATAAATAAACAATTAAATAAATAAACTAGGTAATGAACAAAGAAATAAACAAATAAATAAACAAATAGACAAGTGTGAAACAATAAACAAATAAGCAAATAAATAAAAAATTGAACTAATTAATTAAGTCATTAATAATTTAACAAATAAAAAATAAGTAAAAACCGCTGCCAAGTTGTACATTTTTCTAATTTTGGTGTTCATTTCATGAACACTTTGCTTCCTCATAGAAATAATAATAATTGAAATATATGAATTACTTTTTATAAGAGGGTTAAAAATCATTAAATCTTGGACCAAAAAATGTGTTTTTATATATTCTATAAGATGATAATAATAGTTTAATAATTACACATATGTTAATAAACAAGAATGTTTAAAAATGATATTTTTCACAATTTTTGATTTTTCAAATACCAATAATTTAATAATTTCTGCCCGAATCAGGTTAAAAAGTAGGTCAATTGAAGCGTTTTTTAATGCTCTTCAAGTTGGTAATAATTTTTTGAAGTTACTTTTACATAATTTAAAAAATTTTTTATAAAAGTCTTATTTTTCAAAATTTTAGATTTTTAAAAGTTTAATATCTCCGATTAATATGGACGAAAAATGTTCAATTAGGGCTCAAAAGATGCGCCTGAAAAAACTCTACAAAACTAAATACGAAAAAAAACTAAACTTCTACATTTTTCAACAAAATTTTCAAAAAAGTCTTATTTTCTAAAATTTTTGATTTTTTAAAGTTTAATATTTTCAGTTAATATGAACGAAAAATATTCAATTAGGGCTTAAAAGATGCGTGTAAAAAAACTCTACAAATCTAAAGAAAAACATTTATAAGTGTCTTAACATTTTTTTAAGTTATGTCCAAAAAACGTTTTTTTACAAAATGAAAAATGCAAAAAAAAAAAATAGTTAAACTTCATGAATCGGGCTGAAAATACTCTCGTTTTATGTCCCCCGGGGAGACCTACAATTTAAAAAAAAATTGATGCCTTTAGCTCTTTCTCGTTCTGAGATATTGAGGCAAATGTAATGTTAGTACACACACACACACACACACATCGGGACAAATTTTTAAAATCCGTTTTTTTGACTTCTGAGATAAAATTACATAAAAATTTTTTTATATTTATTTATAACATTTATACGGGGAGTTCCTGTGCATATATAAAGTACTAAAGTATTAGGCATAATAAAAAAAAATTTATAAATATGTCAAAAAATGACAATTCAAAATTTTGCTAATACAAAGCTTCCTTTATGAGGAAGCAATTGCATAAATAAATAATTAACCAAATAGACTACTTAGTTATCAAATAAATAATTAAACAAATAAAAGTGACAAATAAATGGAGATGAGAAAAAAATTCCCTTACTAATTTTTTTGAAAAAAAGTCGCCCTGTATTGTCGATATTTTTTGGTGCAAAATCAATTCTGACAAGTGCGCCATTCGCGTCAATTTTACGGGGGCTAATTTTAAAATTAGCTCCTTCAAAAAAAAGTTCCGGCATTTGTATCGCATAATCACGTGTTGCTAAGAATTTTATAGCTTTTTCACGAAGAGCATTTGTAATTTCTTCCAATGGCGTTATTGGTTCTTCATGAAAATCACGAGCTTCTTCACTATTTTCACATTTATCATTATCATCATTATCATCTTTTTTTTCCATTTTTCGTTTATTGAGATCATTATCATCATCATCATTTGAATTCTCCACTAAATTTTCATGGTCACTATCAATATTTGATTTTCGTTGACATGTTTGATAATTTAAATTATTTTTCGTTAACACAAAACCATCGAATACAGTGATATTATCACGTTCAGTGAATGTATTGTCGAGATAAGTGTAAGCATTCTTTTGAATACAGGAGAAAGTTATCCTCTTTTTGCAGTCTCTGATAAGTCCATGCCAGAATTCATTTCCGGTTTCATTGACCGGCAAATCGCGAGCATTGAAAAGCTTCGCATACGACTTGAGTTTCGAGAAACTGAAGAATTGGGAACTCGCGAACGTGACCGAGATACACAACAGTAAAAGGATAGCGTTATATTTAGACATTTTTGATTTGATGTTAATTAACTTTTTTCTCTTTAATCAAATTACTCAACAAAATTAATTTTTTAAATTTCAAAAAAATTATTACCTACAATTAAAATATTTGACTAATTTCTTTTTAAATATTTTTGTAATTTGATTCTTATTACGAACTAAATATAAATATTTGAAATAAATAGTTACGCACTAGGTAAATAAATTAACAATTTACACTAATTAAACTAAATTGAATTGGAGTCTGTGTGGTTAGTTTTTTTTTTAATTTACATTATCAAACATTTTTCTAATTGATAATGTTAAAATAATGCATCTATAATCACGAATGTAGTTTTGAAATTTTTGTTCTAATTTCCTGATGATTTTTATCCAACTTCATCTTCACGCTAAGTGGACCAGGAATGTAGTTTTCATCGTTACGCGTGATTGGTGGTTTGGTTTGAATTTATTATGTGCATGTTGATAAATTTTTTTCACACACTTTACAAATGGAATAATCATGTCAGGAAATTATTAAATGTGGTGAGGGGGGGGGGTAAAAAATAAAAGTGATGTTAAATATTCTTGTTCACAAAAAATAAACACGTCACCGGAATGTCACCGGTTACACATTGTACGGAGATGCGTTCTCGACGATATCTGCTTTAGAACTAAAGTCGTGGGTTCTTGAGAAGTTACAATTCACCTGGTGCGTCAAGTGTGTCAAAGAACCTCCTACTCCTTGAACGTTCAGTCAAGGAAGGTCATTACGATCTTCTTCCTTCTCTTCATCTTCGTCTTCTTATATATTTTTTCTCTTCTTTTCTCTTATTCTATATTTTCCTCCTTTACCTTTCTGATATTCTCCCTTACATTTTTCTTTAGAACCTTTTCCTTTTTTAAAATTAAAAAAATTTTTTCCTTTCTGTTTTTTTTTAAATTTTTTTTGTTACCCTTAATAACATTTATACCACCTTTTTCCTATAATATTATTTTCTTTAAAACTTTCTTCTTATTTTTTTATTTTTCACACTTTATTATATTATTGTCTTTCTCCTATTCTTTGCTTCTTTTTCTTCTTCTTTTCTTTCATCTTCTGTTCCTCAATTACTAATTTCTTGCTTTCCTTTTTCTTATTTATTTATTTATTTTACACTTTAATATTATTATATTTTCTTTATTCTATTCATAGCTTCTTTTTTTCTTATTATTTTCACTTCATTATTTTCTTCTTCTTTTTCTTATTTTTCTACTACTCTATCACTTGTTTTTTTGCTTTCTTTCTTCTTTCTTTTCTTTCATTTATTATTGTTTTCTTCCTTTTGTTCCCTTCATTATTTTCTTCTTCTGTTCTTCTTTCTTCTGTTTTTCCATTACTTGTTTCTTGACTTTTTTCAACTTTTCTTTATTTTTTATTTCTTTATAAGAGTTTTCTTCTTTCTTCATTTTATTTTCTTCCATTTATTTATAAAAATAAAGAATTTTTAAAGTTTTTTATTGTTTACTCTGATCTTCTTTGACAATTTTTTTTATCTGTTTCTTTATAAATTTCTTCTTCCTTTTTTTCTTTTCTTTCTTTTTTCATTTTTTCGATATTGTATAAACTTTCACATTCCCATATTTTTTATTATTACTTTTTATTTTTTTCTTCTTTTTTTCTATACCTTTTTCATCTGTCTTTTGATTTATGTCTTTATTTATTTATTTTACATTTCCCGCAGGAAATAAATAAATCGCAGGCCCATAAATGGGTATCTTTACAAAAACTATTTAAACTTATATATGAAATTGGTAAAAAAGTAACAAAAAATAAAGTAAGATTATAATTCTTTTATAAATTAATAATATGTCGTCGAAAAAAAAAATAATACAACCTCTTACAATATTTACTATTCAATTTAAGCCATCATTTATTATTCACAGGAAAAAAAGTCTGACTCCGTTTACACCTTAAATTCAGCCTCAAAAATAGGCTGAAAGTAAGAATTTTTTTTAGTGTGATAATATAAGATTCTACTGCTGAAATAAAATTATTTTTTGAACAAAAAATCAGATCTAAATTTGAATTCACAGTATTGAACATTTGACTTATATGATAGCATGCATAAAAAATTGGAACAGTAGAACCTACGAAAGCTATCTGATTATTTAAATAAAACGGTTTATTCTTTTTTCTATTTCGTTATTATTTATCTATTCTTCTTTCATTTCTCTTTATTTATTTATTAGTATACTTCTCTTCCTTTTTACTTTCTTTCTTCATTCATTTTTGTTATTTTATTTTTTTTCATTTATCTTCTTTACTATTTCTCTTTTATTCGCTTCTTCAGATTTTCTTCTTCCTTAAATTTCTTCAAAACTTTGTTATTAATTTCTTATTTTTTATAATTTTCTTTTTCTTCTATTCTTATATTCTTTTTATTTTATTTTTTTGGATTTTTATTTTTTATTTTTTCCATTTTTTTCCTACCTCTTATTTTATTATTATAATTTTATTGGTCCTTTCTTATTTATTATTTTAAATTTTACATTTGGCCTGTTCTTTTTATTAGTTTCTTCTTTTGCTCATTTGTTTTATCTTTAGGGTAAGTCCGGGGGAGATGGCCACAGTTCTTTTAAAGTACTATCGAAATGATAAAAAAGCGATTTATGTTTAAACTTTTATTGATAATTAAACATTGAACACTTAACTTTAAAGTAACGAAAAATAAAATAAAATATTTTCATAGGAACAATCTTAAAATTTACATTTTTTATAGAGTGCATTTGGCGTGGATTATGCACTACTCAAAAGAACTTAAAACTAAAAAATATGTTAATAAATAACAATAAAACAATAAGAAATGTGAAATTATCAAATTATTTTGGACCCATGCAAAAAAATGTAGAAGGATTACACTTACATTTTCATTATTTTTTAACAATTTGTTGTCTTCATTTATTAGTAGTCACAAAAGGTTGAAAAGTAACCAATTATAAGTGATATTTCTTTACAAATTCTGTAAAATATTTGAACTGGACATCTCTCCCATATGGCCATCTCCCCGGAGTTACCCTATTACATTTCTTGTTTTTTTCTTTTCTTCGATTTTTCTCGTTTCCTTCTCGCATTATCATTTTTAGAATTTTATTTTATTCGCTTCATTATTTACTTCTTATATTCCTTCTTTTTTACTTCTCTATTACTTGATTCTTGCTTTCTTTATCTATTTCTCTAAAATTTACTTCTTATTTTTTTCTTTTTTACTTCTCTTCTTTCTTTACTCTTCTGCCTTTTTATTTTTTATTTAATTATAACTCTCTTTCTATATGTAAAAAAAAGTTCTTGTAAATTCCTGTTTTTATTTTTCTTTATTAATATCTTTTTCTTCTTCTTCTTATTCCCCTATTTCTACAAAACATGCTTCTTTCTTCCTTTTTGCTTCTTTTTTCTTTTTCAGAAAAAAATAGTTTTCCTCAAAAAGTGTATTTAAAATTATACTTTAAAACATTTCTAAACATTCTGCATTATTTTTTTTCTCTTTTAAATATTTCTCTAAGTTTATAAAAATCAGTGAGAAAAAAGAATGATAGAAATCTGCAAATTTCTTCTTGTTTTGTAAAATTGTGATAGGTAGTATATTAAGTTATAACCTGAACATCCGGTGTAGAACACTTTAGTCCAACAAAGTATAAAATCTATTTATTACATTTTGTTGATGAAGATTACAGAATGATTGGAGATTATAAGCAGTCTTTTAGTTCTTCTTTTTGAATCAAGTCAGGTGTAATTATAACGAGTTTGATTACCGGTGAATCTGATTCAACTTGTGACATTGATAAATAAACCACTGAATGTCTCTTTTTTTAGAATGTTCTTCTCAAGAAAACGTAAATTGAATGTTTTCCCGTTGCAAATTGTATCATTTTGTATTATTTTTTTTTTTACTTCTTAATTATTTTAATTACTATAGTTCAATTTAATTTCACAATTTAGTTGTCAAATTAAATTTAACTATATTATTTTAATTCTTTTTTTCGTATTGACTCTGTTATGTAATATAATATAAATTTCTGAATATAAATAAAATTTTGAAATAAAAATAAAATTAGATGTTACAAAAAAGTGAACTGCAAACAAAATTAATTACAGAACCAATACAAAAATTGTGAGTGTGAAATATTCAAACAAAAGAAATTGCAACTTTTCACTTAACTCAAAAGAAAATAATTGAATAACTGTGCAAAATTTGCGGTGCGAATTCCACAAAGATTTTATGTAACATAGTATATTATTTACTTTTTGCATTTTTCAATTTACTTTATTTATCTCCTCCCTTCTTCTAATAGATATTTCCATTTTTTATTTAATATATACATCTTTTGTTTCACTCACACACATTAGAAAACCAACGTAATTTATTTATTTATTTATAAAAATAAACCTAACATGCCCTTTTCTACAATTACTCCTAAATTTAATGTTTAAATCCTAAATCTATCTTAAATTTTAAAGGTTACAAAAAAATTTAATTTTACACCAAGAAAAAAACAATATGAAACCAATTTTTATCATTTGAGAAAAAGCCCAAAATTATTTTTGAAACCATAATCATATTTTGGTAAAAATTATCATAATATATCAGAAAAATGTTTATTGTTACTTTCGATTAAGAACAAAATTGTCCTATAGTAATAAAAACTTTTTTAACAGAATCCAGAAGTTAATAAAATTAAAAATAAATAAATTAATTTTCAATTTTATTGAAAGGTCATAACATTGACACACATGTATTTGAGATGAAAGAAAAAGATTTTTTGAACCGTTGCTTTCATGTATGTAAACATATACCTATATGTGAGACAAGCGTCGATTGCAGGCAAATTAAACTAGAATGTAATTGAGGAAAATACTAGTTTTTAGTGTAATTACGCGAGACCAGTTTTGCGTGGCTAACGATCGCGAGCTTCAAGAAGATTGAGATACGCGAGTCATCATATTCAACAACAGGATTTCTCAAAAAGAAATTATTTTGTCATGAACATATTTGATATAAGTCTTTTTTTTAAAATCCCATGGAGATTGCGTGACTAGATAATAGATATTGAACTCAACTCGTGACTGATATCGTGTATTGTCATTGACACTGGAAAGACTTCTATATATATGCGATAGTCGTTCATTCAGGTGATTTATTTACAGTTCACTTGGCTATCATTTGTCTGCAATTAAAGTACATCCGTTTTCAATGTACTATTTATCCGGAATAATGAACCGTATATGATGAGTGCTTCTTTTTTGAGTATTACAATCAATTAGTATTTTTTTATATTTCTAAAATTTATATATATTTTTAGACTCTTAACTATTAAATTAGTCTTAATTTTTAATTAATACAATTACTAATAAATTTCATTTTAATTTAATTTATTTTGTTTTTATTAATAAATTAAATTGAAAAGAAATTTACAACTGAAAAGAAAATAATGAAGAGAGAATATGAAAAAACTGAAGAAAAAAGGAGAAAATGAAGAAGAAAAAAATAAAGAAGTAAAAAGTGAAAATAAATAAACAGAAACAAGAAATATAAAAAGGAAGGAATCAAAGATAAATGGAAAAGAAAAGTAGAAAAAAACATAAATAATAAGTGCAAAACAAGAAATTGAACAAACAGTAAAATAAAAATTATATAGAGAAAATAATAAAGAAACAAAAAATAAAAAGAAAAAATTAAAAATAATTAAAAAAAGAAACAAAGAACAATAAAAGCAAAAATGAAGAGGAAAAAGAAAAAAGTAAAAAGTGAAAACTTAAAAAAATAATGAGAAAGAAAA